ACATTTCATCACATGGTGGATAAGTGACATTTCATCACAAGGTAGATATGTGACATTTCATCACATGGTAGATATGTGACATTTCATCACAAGGTAGATATGTGACATTTCATCACATGGTGGATAAGTGACATTTCATCACAAGGTAGATATGTGACATTTCATCACATGGTGGATAAGTGACATTTCATCACAAGGTAGATATGTGACATTTCATCACATGGTAGATATGTGACATTTCATCACAAGGTAGATATGTGACATTTCATCACATGGTAGACATGTGACATTTCATCACATGGTGGATAAGTGACATTTCATCACAAGGTAGATATGTGACATTTCATCACATGGTGGATAAGTGACATTTCATCACAAGGTAGATATGTGACATTTCATCACATGGTAGATATGTGAAATTGCAACACATGGTAGATATGTGACATTTCATCACATGGAAGATATGTGACATTTCATCACATGGTAGATAAGTGACATTTCATCTCATGGTAGATATGTGACATTTCATCACATGGTAGACATGTGACATTTCATCACATGGTAGATACATGACATTTCATCACATGGTAGACGTGACATTTCATCACATGGTAGACACGTGACATTTCATTATAGAATGTTTACCTGTGCGTACGCCTCAGAAAATAATATTACCGATTTTATCATGTTGATCGATTTCAGTGTCAGTTATAATTAGTGTTGTTTAGATCCTCAGAGATCGATTTGTAACGGAGTTAAAAAAATAGTATTTAAAACAACCTGCTACTCTGCACCTCTGGGTGTCACCATTCCGGGCTTACATTTAGATAAGGTACCTTCAATTGGGGTCTGGGAAATTATGGTCCAATGGAACCATTGTTTGGTGTAAGATATTCCTATTGAAGGTCTTGGCTCTTCTTCCTATCTCAATTTACGAACTGACTTTCATATGTGGATTTGTCATTGACCTACAAACACCTTGTGATACTCAATTGTCGTGTATATATCATCACACAAACACTCCGATAATTCCAGGTAAATACCATTCAGGAAGTGACGTCACCATGGCCGTGCAGCTTTGTCAAAGTATGATTCATGTTATACGGAAGCGATGACATCAGATACATTTTAAAGAATTAATAACAAAATGTTCCGAGTGGCGTGTTAAAGTCATTGGTTACGATAACAATCAGCAGGGTCACCCATAACTATCTATACCTTGATTGCAGTGAGTCAACGACCGTCAGCTTTTTTTGATCTGTTTGAACAGTTTAGTCATCAGGAATACGTGTCATGATATTTATTTATATGTCAGTCTTACATAACAAACCATATTACTTCTCACCAATCTCCTTTGGTACTTAGAAACATCACCAATAAAACCTCTGTATTGATGCTGGTATTTCAGCGTGTGTTGAACTCAAGGAACCCGAGATCAAGGACGAAATGATAATGGTAACAGCACATGTATAGAAGGTCGTTTAATAGCATGAATCAGTTTTATACCAGATCACCATTTGATGTGTCTGTTCACGGTGGCTGGTCCACAATCTAACATGCTTATCATGTGCATTAAACTCGACACAGATATACTCTCAGAGGTGATGTCAGCAAACGTGTGCACGTGAGTCACAGGTAATTCCTCAAACTTTGTTTTACTGACGGAAATACCGGAACTACTGTCTGTCAGTGACCTAATCCTATACAATTCCACGTGACTACTGATAAGGGAAAACCTGTCATATGTGTATACATCTGTATGGTGGCAGAATGTCTCTGCCTCGGTCGTTTACCTTTTCTTTTATTGCCATTTCAAAATTAATTATATCTTTATATATGTGTTATCTTTTCATCCTATGTTTAATACACACATAAACACCGTCTCCATGTTGAGTCCTATTGATCTGTACAGTTGTCTGAAACATCTTCATACTGCTTAGTACGATAGCTCAGTCACATTTCAGTCCATCACCACAATTACAAATTGAACACAGATATGCCCAGACCTTCGACAAGATAAACATCATGTCGTAATTATTAAGATTTCTTACTCCGTAACAAATTATCTAAATCACTGACATTTATTTATATATAAATATACATGTGATATATCTACCAACATAATCCAGGCATTTATTCAGCGTTTACTATTCGCGTCACAGTCTTTGTTCTAAGATATCCGTTCTCGGAGTGGCCTTCATGCTTTGTTCTAAATAGTACATCCTAAAGAGCAATGGTCCGCTGTTACGGAATTACCAGAAATATTGTCCATGTCTTCACCAAGAGACAACCTAAAAGGTCATATAAATGTTTGTGACAGTATACACAGACTACAGATCACCACGCCAACCATCCTTGATAGCAAAATTAAAGGCACAAGCCAAGTAGTTTGAAGATTACAAAGGAGCGACACCTATCTTCAAACCTATTACGATATACCCTAATGCGACAACGAGATTCGTTTGATGTACAACAAAGTATCAAACTAGTCTTATCGTCTTGTTCATACGCTGGCGCACGTGGAACCTTCTTTTTTGCCAGGGTTGCAGTGATCGTAACCCCTGGAATATCGAGGATGCACGGCAAACAGGGATGGTCCGATACCTTTTTTTCTCCTGGCAACGTTCTAACTAGTTGTGTTGTAAGAACTTCTGTTCAACGACCCGTTCTAATATGTAAAGTAAACGTGAGTTTCAGGTAACCATTGCCAGTAAGTACAACCCAGAGCACTCCAGGAGATTAGTAGTAGGATTTTCTGCCGCACCCCATTGATGTATTCGTGAGAAGCGACTAATGTGCTCCTTTCTGGAGCGTTACTTATATGTGTCTTAATGAACATTAAAGAGACCAAACGTGATCAGATGAACTCATGACAGCACTTAGGATACATGTCTTCTTTATTTTTCCGATAGTTTCTCGTTCATTCTACCAATTTCCTATCGAACATGTCTTCGTATGAGGTGTTCATGGCCGACGATTGCTAGATGAATGCTGTATCACTAGTATTAGATTTAACATTGGTTAGTAATTATCTAAATACAATATGTAACGCTATAATTATTGGAATTTTAAATTAAAAGTAAGAAATATGTTTACAAATTAATAAGGCGAATTTCATTCAGAGAGTGCTTGATCGTGTTTCTCAATGTAGAGATAAGCGAGGTGCCGGAACAGACTTGCCCCTAGCGGTCAGTCAGTACATTAGTAACCTCCATCATGTCGGTGGTATCCCCTTGAAAAGACTTTAAAATGATTCATCTAGATGTTTATACCGATTCGCACCGGAATCTACCTACCAAGGAGATTAACTTTTAATTTCTCATTGCAAAGTTGATTTGGTTGTGACTGGATGCTATATATATTGTGTTTCCTCAACGCCATTTGGATGATAAGGAATAGATTTCCGGTGTTAAATGTGTGTTTTTACTGTCAGAAATCGTGTAGGTTTATCTGGTAAACGAAAGTGTCAACAGTCTGATCAGGAGGTATCACCAGCTCTATACGAAAGTTATACTGGGTAATACTAACATGCAAAAAAATCCCGTTAGGGTTTACTACGATATCATGGATGAAATGGGGTACCAACAGACTCGGTTTACAAATCCGGGTTATTTAATAGGAGAAATAATGACTCCAAACGAATGCGCGATGGAAATAATATTGGTACTGAACTTTTTGACCGACTCTCACAGTTTATTTAAAGTGTATACAATCAATTGAAGGGAAACAGAGGCTTAAACGTAGTGAATTAATCAGGACATTCACTCCAAGTTTACACCGGTGCGCGGTGGCCTTATGAAACACAACATGATTAACTTTTATTATTGTGATAGAATCGTTCCTCCAAATACAATAATTGAATACACATTGTGTAAATTTACGAAGAAATGGTAAGATTAGGTAGACATTTCTGTAAGGTATTCCCAATGCGTTTATTGGTCAGTAGCAAATGCTTCAGACACAACAACAATGCATTAGAACGCCACTTTGATCGACACGTATGATACATAAGTGTGTGAGCCTTAAAGATATAATATAAACGGAACCATCGAACGCTCGCGTGGGATTCAAAGATGATTGAGTTTTTAGAATGAACTGTCAGAAGAAATAATAAGTTTTGATGAGAATTTTGGAAGGAGTGTTTGTACTGTCTATGTGCGGGGGAGAGTCTGTCAGATGTCTGGCTGACGATCATACATTTTGAAAACTAGTGGGCAGTGAATTATTTAATTGGTGTGTATATATTGACAAAACGTCACAGAAATGATGACCTTACATAGACATTGCGTGTACATGTATCTTGGGATATACTAAACGTCAGATACAGTGACAGACGCATTCTTCAGCCAACCTTTATCGAGAGATACAGTTATAATTTTACAGAACAAAACATCAACAGTATTCGGAATCCAAAGTCGGATTCGTCTTTTATCACAACAGAGTAAAACATTGATACTAATTAAACCATCGGATGTAGAATCAAAGCAGATAATTTACATTATCACAAGTCATAAACAATAGATCTGTCAGGGCTGGTTACATTAATAAGGACAGACTTGTCAGGTCTGGTGTGTATATATTAGGACAGACCTGTCAGGACAGACCTGTCAGGACTGGTGTGTATTTATTTGGACAGACCTGTGAGGTCTGGTGTGTATTTATTAGGACAGACCTGTCAGGACTGGTGCGGATTTATCAGGACAGACCTGTCAGGTCTGGTGTGTATTTATTAGGATAGACCTGTCAGGGCTGGTTACATTAATAAGGACAGACATGTCGGGGCTGGTGTGTATTTATCAGGACAGACCTGTCAGGACTGCTGTGTAATTATTAGGACAGACCTGTCAGGTCTGGTATGTATCTATTAGGACAGACCTGTGAGGTCTGGTGTGTATTTATTAGGACAGACCTGTCAGCACTGGTGCGTATTTATTGGGACAGACCTGTCAGGTCTGTTGCGTATTTATTAAGACAGACCTGTCAGGTCTGGTGTGTATTTATTAGGACAGACCTGTCAGGTCTGGTGTGTACGAGGACAGGCCTTTCAGGAGTGGTGTGCATGTGGACAAGCCTTTCAGGAGTGGCGTGTACGAGGACAGACCTTTCAGGAGTGGCGTGTATGAGGACTGACCTTTCAGGAGTGGTGTGTATGAGGACAGGCCTGTCAGGAGTGGTGTGTATGAAGACAGGCCTTTCAGGAGTGGTGTGTATGAAGACCGGCCTGTCAGGAGTGGTGTGTATGAGGACTGACCTTTCAGGAGTGGTGTGTATGAGGACAGACCTGTCAGGAATGCTGTATACGAATACAGGCCTTTCAGGAGTGGTGTGTATGAGGACAAGCCTTTCAGGAGTGGTGTGTATGAGGACAGACCTTTCAGGAGTGGTGTGTATGAGGACAGGCCTGTCAGGAGTGGTGTGTATGAGGACATACCTTTCAGGAGTGGTGTGTATGAGGACAGACCTTTCAGGAGTGGTGTGTATGAGGACAGACCTGTCAGGAATGCTGTGTACGAATACAGGCCTTTCAGGCGTGGTGTGTATGAGGACAAGCCTTTCAGGAGTGGTGTGTATGAGGATAGACCTTTCTGGAGTGGTGTGTATGAGGACAGGCCTGTCATGAGTGGTGTGTATGAGGACTGACCTTTCAGGAGTGGTGTGTATGAGGACAGACCTTTCAGGAGTGGTGTGTATGAGGACAAGCCTTTCAGGAGTGGTGTGTATGAGGATAGACCTTTCAGGAGTGGTGTGTATGAGGACAGACCTGTCAGGAATGGTGTATACGGAGACAGGCCTTTCAGGAGTGGTGTGTATGAGGACAAGCCTTTCAGGAGTGGTGTGTACGAGGACAGACCTTTCAGGAGTGGTGTGTATGAGGACAAGCCTTTCAGGAGTGGTGTGTATGAGGACATGCCTTTCAGGAGTGGCGTGTATGAGGACAGACCTTTCAGGAGTGGTGTATACGAGGACAGACCTTTCAGGAGTGTTGTGTATGCGAGGACAGGCCTTTCAGGAGTGGTGTATACGACGACAAACCTTTCAGGAGTGGTGTGTATGAGAATAGACATGCCAGGAAATGTGTGTATTAGTTGTAGATAAAAGAATAGACCTGCCATTGATGGTTATTATACGAGAAGTTTCAGGTCGGTCTTGTTTTTGTATGCTGTGACTTTGAGAAACCGAGAAGCTTCTTTTTTACGTCCCATGTGACAATACACTTTGAAAGAAAATCTAAGGGCACTGCACGTCAGGCATAGAGTAAAGAGGAATCTGAACTTTATTTGAAGTCAAATAAAATGACCGCCATTTTCTGTAATTCACAGTTTACGCTAATTAAGCCAATATTTCCATTTGAAACATTTATCACAGAGTTACTTAATTGTCACTTATCGAGCTCGAAGTGTGAACCAAGTATTTCCGGTGGTACGTAAAATAGAAAAAAAAATTCGTTACACAAAGCAGGAGTATGTATGTCATAGTGTATTGGTTTAATTGATGACACAATATTTCAGAAAGGTTACCTTGCATACCATATAGAGGCAATTATACGTAATTACTAGAGCTGGAATTTCCGAATAAGGAAGTATGAATATATGTGACGGCTTTCACAAAATGTCATTCAAGCACTAAATGCGTGCCAGGATATATAAACACATGTGGATGTCACAATGATGTCAACTGCGCAGTTATTAAGCTCTCATTATGAAATGATTGAGTTTCAAATAAAACCTTCCCATCCGCTGCTTCATGGATGGTCTGCCCACCAATCATAATGGTTGTAAACGTTACACCCGAACTGGTGCTTTTTTATTGGTGCCAGTAATCGATGGAATTACAATTGAAAGGCGAGAGGGCTTAAGCACGCCCTGTGATCGGGCGGACACCGTGGTAGCAAGTTTCATTAGCATAGGCCACTCAACAATTCAAACACGTGGGCACCAATGATTTAAGTGGTGTGAGCAATCATTTTTAATCGCATAGTATGCATATTTTGATTCCATGTGTATAAACTATTAGGAAAAGCATTGAGAGAATCCACCTGCATGTGTTCTGGATAATAGTGTCGCATAGCTTAGATTACAAGTTGGCGACAAATCAACAATTTCTGTTTCATACACAAATGTAGCTGTCCAGGTCGACTTCCTCATTACACCTCAACACCTTTGATGAAATATTGCATGTTGTAGCATCCAAACCTTTTTCACTCACCAGAGTATCATGATGCATTTGAGGTCATAAAACGTTTTGCGGAGAATTTGTTTTGCTAAATCTACACATTCGGGCTTAATAAAGAATAGGATATTGTAACGCTACTTAGTAACATGTACTTACATGTATCTTTGAAGTACTTACAGGTAACTTTGAAGTTGGTAACTTTGAAGTACTTACAGGTATCTTTGGTATTACAACATTTTTCTGCAGTTGTTACAAAATGAGCCATTATACGTGTGTTGCAAATTGTGATGCAATAAGAACCATTGTGTTGCTAATTAATTTTTTCATTACATTTTGTTGAATTTTTCATTGACATTACCATAAAATTCTTGTTCTTTTTAACTGGAACAAATAAAACGTAATGCACATATTTAACTGCAATGTTACGATTCCTATTTCTCTTTACCAGTCATGAGCGGTAGATAAATAACAACACCTTTTGTTTTGTTTTTCATACTAATTTTAATTCAACATGATATTTCTGAGTTAGTTTTATACATATATCTTTCATATATAATCGAGAATACAACAAAGAAATATTGCACAGAGTATAACATACAACCAGAATGGAAGAGTACTGTTGTATATTAGTGTTAGTCGATGGCTGCATCACCACTCACGTCACCATAGGCCTGTGTGATACTGCTGTGATGAACACAATTAGCCAGTTATCACACAGATCTTACGGAGACAGATCATCTACAAAGCCCAGAAGAATGATATATAATACTACAGTATTCCCACCAACCAGCAAGTATAATTTCACACATATGAACATAAGTTTGAGACATCTTAAACCATAATGTTGTCGATCTATCAAACACATGGAAAACGACAAAATGTTTGTGATATTACAGAAATAAATTTGGTCCAAGTTGCATACATTCATTTATAAATATAATAGCCAAACAAAAATATGAACACAGAATTTTTCAAAAATTCTTACTCATATTTCATTTATATCTCCTAAATCTTACTTTTTGTTTTGAAACTAAAGACCCAGTTAAAGCCTTTGTAACTAATTATATAATGACCCAGCTAAAACCATCATAACTAAACAATGACCCAGTTAAACCCTATCATCACCATTGACGAGATTAACTGATAGTCACAAGAAATGTGTATCCTTAACATTGACCTTTGTGCAAGACATCATGATATAATTATGTTTGAGCTCGACATAATCACAGATAATCATCCTGATATCTTGTGACAGCTTATACTATATTTTGCGGACAGTGTTTACTATTACTTTGTGCAGTCTGTCAATGTTTGGTTAAATTTTGCAAAGTCATGACCTGAGTCTGGCAAAACCCGCCAACAACTGTTTCTTCTGCCTATTATCTTGTCTCCCCTCTACCACTCCCAAATCTTGAGGATACTTAGTACCTCTTGTGTGTGTTTCCTTAATGTGTTCTTCCATCTGCCTGTAATAACAGTCAACAGTTGGATGTACACTAGTTGACGGTTTCAGCCCCTCCCCTGTAGTAAGTTTGTTTTTCTCACCCTGATAGGCCTGTAAAGTGGCGACAACAAAAGGCTTAGTGCTAATCATGGGTTGTAGTAATGGCCAGTAATTGAGGGTTCGGAAATAACCGTGTAATAAAGGCCTCCCTTTGTGTCGTAAGTTCTGTTGGAATAACAGCTCAGCTAGCATCTGATAGCCACTCAAGCCATAGGAGTATCCCAAACATAAACACCACTGATGGCTCATGTACCATGACACTGCAAAATAACATTACCTGTCTCCAATTTCCCGTGTCTTTGACAAGGCTCATTGACCTTCGGGGCTACAAGTTTTAAGATTTTATTTTGCTTTTTTACCTTTGCTATTGTTAATTCTATTTCCATCTATAATTTATATCAACTGCAAAATAAGGAATCCTTTTTTTTCACTTTGGACTTTCAAATAAACGTTTCTGCAAAATTCATTACCTTCATATTTTATCCTTTCCCAATTTTTTTTTCAAAATATTGAATTTTCACAAAATCTAGATCAACAAAACACTTGAATATTATCAATGTCTCCGAATAATGTGACCATTCCATACATTTTGACAGAAATCAATATTCATCTTTTTTGTTATAATTTAGTTATTTACACCATCTTACTTTCTCAAACATTTCGCCAGTGAACTACATTGACCCAATCATGCATATAACACAGTTTTATGTGACACAGATTTTAATCCAGCTAACACACTAAACTTTTTCGAGTGGCCTCTTATGACTTCCACAACCTATTAAGGAATATTAATGATACAATTGTATCAAACCAACCGCCCTACAGGTATTACAGTACCATTTAATTAAACTATATACTGTATGTGAAATGAATTTCCTTACAGAAACAGCCCAACAAATCAACACAAACAATTATAAGGGTAATTACTAAATACTAAACAAATATTAATAATAATTATGAAAGTGAAGAAGCTTTACAAACAACAGTCTGCATAATTCATCCCAGTCACCTACTAACATAAAATCACAAACCCCTGTGTGTGATGTGTATCAATAGTCATCAGAACTATCATTACAGAGGGTTGGGAACAATCACATTTGATTAACTATCATTCGGTGGACTACATATTAGAAATAACAATGTCGGCTAACATAACAAAACAGAAACAATTTTTGTGCACACATCTTTTCCATAACATTAACCAGACTGACCAGAGACCTAGCATAGAGCCATATAGGACCAGAGACCTAGCATATAGCCATATAGAAATCTAAGCCTTATACTCATATTTGGAATAGATAGACCCAAATCAAACGATGCTGGGTCTCAGTCACTTGTCAAAAACATTTGATCATAGCTTATGATGCAAGTATATATGCATGTATAATCCTTCATCCCACACCATCCTCGAACTTAATCAGGGACTTCAACTGATCATGTTGACTTTTTATCCTTTAATGGGAGATAACTCCTATCAGTTAAACAAATGACAACAGACAAAAGGCAGCATCCCGTCTACTACTATTGATAAAATCTATGTCAGTGTATAATATACACATACAACGTCTTCAGTACTGACGTTTCAACTCTCACCTTCAATATACTCATAAACTTACGCAATCCATCAACGACTCCAGCATACTTCGTTGCCAACACAACATTAATAATCGGAGAAACACTTCTGCACAATATTTACAATAAATTGTATTTCGTGCCCGTAAACAACACCATAAACCACTGTAAAACATATGTAGCAGTGTTGTTATACATTATGAAACAGAAGGCATAAGCAGTATTGAACCATGATTACCATTACAATTCGTATCCAAAGCACATTTGACTAATTTCAAAGCTCTTCTCAAACTAGATGTGCATTAATGCATGTTAAGAACATTAAAGAAGTATGGGAAAATCATATCCAGCAGTGAAAAGAGACAGAATTTCAAACCATGCCAATCTTGCATGATTTGTATCAAAAACCGATCTCAACTTCGAAAGGTCCAAAACCATTTTACCGACAATTATTTATAATGTTTAGCTTCAATTCCCATTTTGTGATTTAGGATATAGCTGGTAACTAGCCCTTAACTAATAAAGTTGCTTGCCAAACAGCACGACTTTTCCGACAGTTTAGCGCTCTTTACGATAACATCAGCTTTATTACTGTTCACTTTGTATTCCTGCACTCAAATTAATTAGTTGGTAACATGTTTTATTATCTACAGAGGCCGTTATCTGCCATCTCCTGTTTACGAGCCAGTAAAACATATTGGGTACCAGAGATGATGTGATAGACAAGACAGACATAGACAACTCAACAACAATCATGTCTGCCAAGGTATTTGTCACCATTATCACTCGCCTCTTATTGTTTGGCTTATGTATTGCAGCCTATTGGACATGAAAAACTGACACAGAAACAGTTGCCAGTATGGAAAATTGCCAAATAATAGCATTGTCTCTAGATATGAACAAATGAGAAGATTTTATAACTATTCAGTTTCTTCCTAAACATAGGCAATCATTATTGTTTGTTAAAATCATTTAATAATTGTAAGTTTTTGAGATTCCATTTTCAGATAACTTATTGAACAGTACTTTTCAAAATTGTTTGATAAATGTTCTCAATCACGTCCAGGCACTAGCAGTAGCAATGTAATAGAATGCAATCTAGATATCATAAACTGTCTGTGAACAAATATAAAATGCAAGACATGCATAACTTTTTGTAGTAAAACTGAAAATGTCTGCCACTTTAAAATCAGGACTGTATTCAACTAACCTGACACTAACAGTGTTTAGTAGCAAACCATGCTTTGAATCAACAACTTAGAAGAGTACATCATAAAAAGATGAAAGCTCACAAGAAGTAATTCTTTATCACCAATGGCAACCATGGTGCCTTTCTTTGTAAAATATTATATAGTTTTATATAATTCCAGAAAACATCCGTGTAACATACATGCAATCATTTGTGTGCTGTAAAACCATTCATATACTCACATTCTTCCATCACTCTCTACCAATACATGTAGTCTTTCTTCTCCACACAACTTTTTCATCCTATCGTATCTGAAATCTCAATGCTGAATGATTATATTCAATGGTCAACTGTGAAGCATTTGATATTTCAGCATCACAATGCTTTTCTATGAGAAAGCAACCTTTATCAATGTCAATAATATTGAAAATGGAAATCAAATGGTCCACGAAGAAGATAATGAGTAAATATTTGAACATTTTCTTTAGAAATTTTCATGGATATTAAACACTAAAACAATGTTTGGTAGTGGTAAGACTTTGATCTTTTAAGATGTATTACATTAAATGCAAAAATGACTGCTGTATATATGGTATTTATAAATTGTAATACATTTCAAACATCATATGACAATGATGTGAAAATATTTTATCTCCTGATACAAAACAAATCTCACACACATCTACATGCATCACCGATACACATTTTTAAAAATGTTTCCAATGGCATGAAAACCATTCTGTGACATGTTTTGGCAAATACTTGATAACTAGGTCAAAAGGGTACACTACAAGAATAAACTATAACAAAAGTAAAATTAATAATACATGACAATATTATTTATAAAGAAAAATAAAAGAAAATATCGAAAATGATTTAAAGCATTTTCAAAACTTCATTAAGATGAAGCTGATGAAGTGTACATAAAACTTGACAGAAAAGCAAAGTCAAAAAATTATAATTATAATTGGCAAGCATGCGATGACAACCATTTAATATTTCATATTTGAAATATTAGCAAGTTAGTAAGTGCACAAAGACATATATGAGGGACTTTTAATTATTATTAGAGTAAGGATTTCATGAGTGTATAGGAAGGTTACATTCCACTCGCCCAGGACAGATATGTTCATATTAGAATTCAAACAGCAAGTTGATGCTGACCTGAGAGACATTTGCGATAATTGCCACTACAGAAAGATCATTAAAACAAGGATGATTTTGATTAACTGGTTTATATCAATATCACTCTCCCATAAATTAGATGGTGTCAATTTGGCTCTATGTTAACAATGAATGACATTGCATACCATTCACACTGACAAATTCAATCGTGAGCAAAAGGATTAAAACATTCAACGAAACAATAAATAAAGTTAGGGAGAAAAATGAATAGTTTTGTTGAAAACCAAACCTATATCCTTATTACAAGGGGAAAGTTAACCCTTGTAGTGATTCGTCATCTTTTTGTTTGTCATTTTCATAATTGTTCACTTACTTTCTAAAACGTAAATGAAAATAACAAATTGTACAGCTGTGTTGTACAAGTACATTAAGCTGAGATTCAAAGGATTTCACAGAACATAAACTATAGGATGCCTTTGCACACATGCCATTTATACCGACCAACATTTGACTTATTTGTACTTGTATCACATAGATCTTATTCAAAATTTCAATTCTTTATGATATATTTTTGTATTCTATATACCCCACACTCTACTCCCAAAAGCAAAATTAATTACAAATTGTATCTCTTAATTTCAATGAAATGACAAATGTCCAGTTGTGTTGTTGGTAAAGTATCACACATAATCACTCAACACAGGATTACAAGGCATTCTATGACTCTCATCATCAATTCATGTTTCAAGCTTGTTATTGTGCCAGGTGGTTGCGATGTTGTTTAACTTCTGTTCATCATGGAATGTGACATTACTTACTTAGATACCAAGATTTACATGGCAGGTGTTGTCGATGAAATAGAAGATTCTAATTCTTCTGAAACAGCTGGTTTTATTCTCCTGGTACCTTTACAGGAGTCTTGCACATACTTTCATTGAATTTGTGTTTGAATCAAAATGCTATTAACACGATGGGTTTCTTGGTTCTGAATCCACATGTCTTTGCCAACATACATCTCATGTAACAATTGGATGTCTATTGTACATGCTTGGCAAAAATGATATAATTTTCATCAAAAAAGTTATATGGATAAGGGTCACTCTCACACGGGGTAATACATTCTAAAGAATGATGTGTGACTACTTGGCCTGAGAACTAGAAGTAGTGTTAATGTGTTAGTGGTGATGTCTCCAGCTGATGTCACACCAGGACTATATATCCCAGCTGAACAAATGATGTTTGACCAGCATGTCTTTTACCCCTTCCTTCAGGGGCTTGTAAGATTCTGTCGTCTGTTTGGGGATTTCCCAATCCTTGGACAAATTGAAAGAAAACTGGGACAAGAGTCTGCAAAGAGTAGGTTAGCAAGCATTAGTAAAAGAATAAAGATATTTAAAGAAGCAAGATTCCATCCCTCCACCGTGTTAACATGGAAAGGCACATATAGAAAATACACTGAAATATTCATTAGCATAGTAACTTAGCCAGAGGTTTGCCATCTCCATGACTCTTCCTTTCGCTAGGTATTGTCTTACTTCGTGACAGGAAGTCATGCATGGAGTAGGAAAACCTGACTAACAACATAATGAAAATAATCAGAGAATCAAGATTTAATCCCTACACCTCATACATACAAGTGCATATAGAAATTACACAGGAAGTTGAGAAACTTGTTTAAATAACTTGTAATCAACCGTGTCAAAATCACAGGAGTTGAGAGAGATGTAGAAATAATAACCAGATCCATGATGCTGATATGATAATAATGAGCAAAATTACATTCTTATATTCAATAAGAACAAGAATCTCATATATGTTGTAACAAATTCTGAACTAAAATTATTTAAAGCAATAACTGCAATCATAAATGTTAACTATTAACCTTTCAGGAATAGTCAAGGTCACCATATTTTCCTAATAAGGACATCAAATATACAATGGTGTCTTGGGATCAAAATATCATGTATGAAATTATGTACAATCACAAGCATATATCTTTACATTATAAAAAGGCAAAATGTAACAATAGACAATACAAAGACATAGGCTAAAAAAGCCAAATCAATCTGCTGTTGGAAATTTCTTTGAAATACCAAATTACAACATAAAACATTATATATCTAAACACCAACACCAAAACTGCACTCAACAAAAATGTAATAAGTAAAGGCCATCACAACACTATTGAAGGCCACAACTAAAACGATGGGTTCACACACAGCCAAGCAACCTTTAACAGAAAATGGGGAAGGTGGTTTGTTTTCTATATCTATAATGAAATCACAACACCAAAGATCAGAGTTTTACTACATGTAACTAGACACATAAAGACTACTTTACTTTGTAACAAACATGCAACAACAAAAATTCTTAACCAAGACAAACATGACAAATATCAAGTGGTACAGGCCAATTTTGGTAAAAAGTTCCTTTCAAGTATGTTATTTCTAACTCATATAAAAAATCAATAGTAATTATATGTAGCACCACTGGTCTCGTTTGATCTGTATGTTAATTGTGTAATTTTAAATCAGTTGTTATGAAACTGAATCTGGTTTTTCTACTTTTTAAAGTAGATTATAATTTACCATAATTGATTATCCTATTCAATATTAGTAGATTTATAACGTACATACCAATATCAGTAAACATACATGTGCCTTGAGCCGACAGATGGGACTTTTTTTATAGGCATTACATAGAGTAAAATGGCAGAGTGAGGTTACAGAGTATTATTGTAGTTTTATTTAACACTGTAAATAATATCATAATAGTAAAAAGCAATCAAACTACAAGTTAATTAACAAGGAATTTCACATATGTTCATTATGACATATGGACATATAATAATCAAAACAATTAAAATGTCTACCTATGATGTAAATAAATATTTAGTAAATATTCAATAAAAGCACTATATAACAAGAATATAATGAAAAAAATATTAATAAACAGGAAAATACCATTGTAACAGTGGATTTCAATGTAAAGCACTCCTCCCAGAACAGGTAAATGAAAAACATACTAATAATACCATTGTTCAAAGACAAAATATCCTTTTCTATAAAATTAAGGCATATAGCGTGCTAGCCATAAAAGGGGCATGTGAAATTGATAACAATGTACTTTACAATAGAAAAACATATATCAACCATTTCTAATTTGAAGTTAACAAAATTAACAGATTCTCATAATTTGAAAGGGAAAAATCCTTTACTATATAAAACGTGAAAATATGCAAACTGAACATCATGGAAAGCAAATTGCTTTTAGATAACAACTCAAAATTTTCATGTGATTGTCTTTTTCAAGTGATGTTTTTATTCTTGCATGGCTATGTGATGGCAATGCAATATTAATTTTAAAGGTTCCAGCTAAAGAGATGGTGCTTTAAGAGCATGTCGCGGACGCTCTCTTTCAGATTGTGATCACAATGTTTTTTCCTAGCTGGTAATTCCCGTTCCATGGACAGCTTGAATGAGAGCTGCGCTAACACTCTGTCAAATCAGAAAACAAAAATAAAAGCGGCAATGTTTCCTTAAATCTACAAATAGGATAACTTGTGAACATAAATCTTTTCAAAACCATGAAAGGTCATCTCTTCAATAAATTTTCAGTAAAAAATGTGTGAAACAAACTCACACCTTGTACATACCACTACAAAAATTTGTATATAAATTGATATAAAAAAGGCATGCATTAATACAATGCAGACAATACATATTTCATGAGAGAGTATTACAGCAAGAGATCTGTGTGCATTTTCCCCAAATCCAGCAAATAAATAAATGTACATGCATATTTCAGTATATAAATAAACATTTAACTACAACTAAAACAGACAAAATTTCATTATTATCAGACTGGATTTTTATTTTTATCATTAATAGTGACATATCTTTGAAGAAAAATGACAAAAAACAATATAAGGTAAATACAAACTAGAAACTCTACAGAAACAAATAAGTTTCAGGAAGCCTTTGAATTACATGACAGAATGACAAGAAAACACCCTCACTTGTTACAGAATTTGAATTAGTAGACAAAACTATAACAAACTCTCTGGTTTGGTGCAGAGATTAGTTACTTTGTTTTCAGGATAGTGTACTAGTATTAAAGTACATTCAAGTATCAAATTTAAAGAGAAACTCTATAAAATGAAGCCATCTCCAACTGATGTCCTCAAGAAAAAGTTTAGAGTTCCCAGCTGAACAGGTGGTGTTTGACAAGAATATCTGATACAGATTCTGTGATGTCCCGTACAGGTTTAGGAGGTAACCTCTTGTCCAATTCCCAGTCGATGTTAAGGTTGAAGGCATACCTTGCTAGAATTCTGCAGCAAAAATAAACCCCATTGTATTAACACCTACTCTAGCCTGAACATCAAGGCCTACTTTCATCTCAAACTTTAACCAAATACAATTAGATTTAATGATGTACTAATTGTGCATACCACAGCAGAACTGAAAATCAGAGAAATTACATGTAAGTTTAGAACTCTTCTGTAATGCACTTTATTAGCACACAATGGTGAAACCTGAAAGAGCAGTCCTAGAGTAGAGATAGGAAAAGTCTATCTAGTAAATTCAAAGAATTAACCACATTGTATATTGGTAATTATTCTTGGGTAGACTCAGTTTTCACTTAAAAAAAAGAAAGACAAAATAGATGGCTTGATTTAAAGCTGTATGATTGCTTTGATAAATGCTATTGTCCAATTGTAAACTTTTCCATTTTTGATAGTAATAATCCAGCTTACTGATTGAATCATCAGACCTCACACTTACTTTGAATATTGTAATTTCTGTTCTACTGTATAGTATTGATCTGTAAACCTAATAAAATTGATTTCAGGTATGGTGCCAGACAGGTTGTATCATTATAATCATGATGTTATAATCTACAAACTTTCTATTTTCTGTGTTTTTTGTATTACTACCATGGTTCTGCCTTTAATACTTAGATTTAATCTAGATTTGTCATGTTTACTTCATCAGTTATATTCCACCTTGTACATTTCCATGTGTTTCACTAGAAATATAGCCAATGTATTACCAATGCTTCATTGTTTTTCCATGCAGTGTTGTAAATACTTTCACCTTCATTTGTTATATCTTGAACCTAATGTAAAAGTTTTCACCTACAATTAACTTACCTACCTATCAATAACCTCTTACCAACAGCTAAGTTAATAATGAAAAAATCATTCAGTTAATGCCAACAAAGTTCATAATCACTGAAACAAATTTCATTTACAGGGAAGTTTGTGAAATAATGTAACACTATAAGTTTTACCTCTAGGATACAGTAACATGATCAGTGCTTCTTAAGCAGTAATGAATGCCTTGACCTTGGCTGAAGAGGCTTTTGAGTAACAGTTAGGTTTCAGCACCAAATATGTATCCAGACAATCATAGTGACCTTTAAACCGTGCTATAAACTTGATATTTGTTGGAAAAGGATCGGTATGGTATGATATGCACAATCTTCAATGGTTCAAACACATGCTTCTCCTTGTTATGACTTATACGTTTCATTTGGTAAGCAATAGTTTTAAGTGATTTTGCCTCTGCTTTCTTACTGTGAATTTGACCTTGAAAAGCAAACATTTTGGTGTGCCATATATATGTATGACACATCATGATTAGCATGTATTTGTATCAGAAATTCCAACCCATAACACTTGGCAGTTAAAAAGTCAGAGCCTGGTGGACAAAAACTAATATGATAAGACAGATTATGTGACCATATACACTTCAGGTTGTTCCATTGATATTAATGTATATGTAGTTAGTAATCCTTTAAGCACAAAAGGAATTTCTATAAAGGAATCACCTAAGGGAAACACCCCACCCCCCTCCCATCCTTAATAGTTTGTGATTTTGTACTATGTTGTTCTCCTAAGAATTGATATAAAAAGATTTCTTCAGGAATTTCTTTAATGGAAACTACATGTAAACAGCTGTTTAATGAATAATTAGATGGAAAGTGTATTATAGACATCATGTTCTCATTTCCAACACAAATGCATTACAGATGGGCTAGGAATTGTAGAAATTCAAACCAACCACTTGTTGCATCAACATTAAAAAATATCCTGGTGGAAATATTTACCCATGATGCAGTATTCTGCTTCATATGTTCTGCTTTTGACATTCCAGTATTATACAAGCAACAACAGGTTATTTATAACCAGGAAACTAGCCTAATCCCATACCACCATTTCTTTTATCGTTGTAGATAACTTGAGGCCTGCTGATATCTACAATGAAAATAATCAGCTTTCTGCATAATCCATTGGTGTGCTTTAATGATTAGCAGTCATAAAAACAAGGTATGGCATATCTCTAATGTGTTACTTGTGCTTGGATTGATGAATGTGGCATGCTTATACTGTAACAATGTGTGATACCAACGTCAGAAAACGGCTCCCACTAATCCATTGCCTTGGCTGACACTTGGCACAGATTCTACTAAAAAATGGCCTTCCTATTGCTCTGTAATGACCTCTGGCGTCAATCAGTATCACATTGTAGGTAAAACCCAACCAAATGCCAATTATAAAATGTCATACTTATATTTCTTTCCCTTCAAACAACTTCTTACCAAAAATATTGCAGCATATTACAGAATCTGACAGGGAAGGACATTATTTGGACTTTGGCATGTATCTTGTGTTGGCACCAAGCCTGCTTACAGCAGTAAGAACACTAGTAATTAGGAATCAGGATGCAGGATTTTTTTTATTGTAGGCCGTGAAAAGATAATTACTCCTGAACTGTCTGCAATGGGAAATTTTCAACTCAATCTTGTAACTCATCAATTTATTTCTGTTAAGACAAATTTGGAATTTCATTGAGCAATTCACTTATGAAGGAACACAAAAAAAATGGGCAATCAGACACTCCTGATACTGAAAATTGTGACCCTTGGAGAATCCTCTGATAAAATTCAGTAGAAATTATAGACTATGATAGCCTTAAAATAAAGTTTATCAATAAAGAATAATTTGCAACCTTTACTGATTATAAATCACCACCTAAATTAAATGAGATGTAGATATCAAAATTCTAAACTGTAAACAAACACTAAATATGCTGTGGGTTTATTAGATGTCTTGTACATTAACTTTCATTTCAAATGTAGTTTGGTATGAACTTTGACTCTTAAACTTGACTAATGAACTTCAAAACCTAACTAGGGGTAAAACTTTACAATGATGTGAATATGAACTGAATCTGTTGAAGGCTTGACTTTAAAGTAGTCACCAAATCTATGTATAGAACTAGAGTACTGATAATACCTTACATCTGTGAAATGGTGTGTAGGAATAAGGTACTGACCACTGATGCTAATGTCATTCATTGTATACACTGACATGCTGTCATAATTATCATTTATTGGCGAGATGTTTGCCAACACAATGCTCATAGCGAGCAAAAATCTTATTCCTGTTTACAATATTCAGACTCTTTCATCTGGTCCCGTTTCCTGCATAACTTGCTTTCAAACATTGTAATTAATATTTTACATCATATGACGTAATTTGTGATGAATTGAATCACAATTTATCTAATTACTATGAAAACTTGTTTTATAATCATTATTTTTCTTATAAACAAGAAGTGTTTTGCCACTGAATATTTTCATTTCTATTTGAATACACACAAAATATGAATACTATTTACCGCTTAACTAAAATAACAGGTTTTCAGTGGTGATTACTGACATAACACACATTCAGTAGTGAAAGTCAATTCTTACTTCTAATTCCTCCTGTAATTCTAGCTAGAATTCATAGCAAACATGACACAAATTACACACACCCAAAATACTTTAGTTTAATTATCTTATCACATGAAATGGACTATGACAATGTTATGAATGGAATATGAAATCTGACCAATTTCAAATTCATTGCCCTACCATGATTTTTCTGAACACCTTGTGACAGCTTGCCTGCCTAGATATGTTGGCAGCTGTTCCTGTAAGAAACTGTTGTGTCACCTATCTCTATACATCTACAAGTCTCCCTAGTGACTCCTGTGTACTCTGACACCTTCCTAATTTCACATAGATGAAATCAGGCAGTTTTAATGCATTTGAATCAGATGTGGTATGCCTCCAATAAATTCAAGCACGTTGATAAGTGGCATTTTCTGACTACCGACAAGTGTTGTGTGACAATTATCCATCACCTTGGGATTCTAAAAGACAGTAAATGTCAGAGAAACCGGAAGGCTTGACATTCACAAGTTTTACACTACTGTGTGAAAATCTAGACCACTATCCTAAAACATAAAGGCACCATTGACAAACATTATCATACATGAATTTAAAAAGTTGTTTATGTAAAAGAGTTACATGATAGGGGCTATTGTTGGAACATCATAAATACTTATGTTCTGTTTCCTATCATAACAGTACAGCATACAATAAATATTTTCATAGCTACAATATCACCTCCTATTGGAGCTTTAGAAATTGGGAAATATCCAATGAATAGTTGTATCTGTTTATCTATAACTGTGGTGTATTTTTTGTAACCTACAACTATTTTTTTTATTTAAAGTGCTGAATCATCATATTTCCAATCACAACATTTCATCAACTCTTTACTGTAAAGCAGAAAATTGTTATCTTAAATCTGAAAGAACCCTAGTGTTGTACATAACGTCACAAAATTTAGGGTGCATATGCCCCTATTTAAAAGAAATCTTTTGTTCTAACATTTTGAGACATTTTAATAAGAATTCTTACATTCATATCGCCTTTCATGTGAAAATATATCATATATATTATGTATTATAATATATTTATGGTAAACAAGAGCATAAATGCCAACAATGTGATGTCCTTGACACTGTTGATGTGGGTGCTGTAGAGGTCATGTCAAATGCTACCTAATCACCTCACTCCCAACACTAATACCAGTGGATTAGTGGAGGATAATCAGCGTAACTTACATGTCACCCCTTAGACATAACGATGTGAGAGATGAACAGAATGCTGCCACTAGTGACTCCTCCAGCCAAATTCCACATAACATACATTGTACCTCTTTGGCCAACTACTCAACAACACATAAATTTCACTGACACAATCTGGGCTCCTTTGGAATTGACACTAGTCCCATATCTCAAACACTTTGTTCTATCAGTTTTTTAAACAGTAAACTTACATAAGATATCTAAATTTGTATATCGTAAGTGAAATAAAAAATATACTGAAATGAAATCTTTATATACAATCTCCAAAATATTCTTAAATTTGCATTAGAAAACTAGACAACTTTTGTGCACTTACAAATAAGTATTCAACGACTAGAAACTGTAATAGGTAAAATATTCCTGTTTCCATTAGAGATATCAGCAACTAATTACCATGACAAGTTACTAGACAATAATGTGTGCAAGTATTTAACTAAATAGTCACCATATGACATAGATGTAGACTTTAACAGTTGCCAGTATGTAACGGCTGGCTACCATAAGAGACAACTTTTACCAGCTACTGCCAACAACTTTTTAACAAGATCAAATTAAGCTTGGAAGAAATGTATATATATATTTCATTCAATTTAAGAGACTCCAAGTGTAAAGGAAATATATAAAGCTATATTACATAAAACTAACAGAATTTTTTTGTACAAAATCAACAGGAGGCCAGACATCTTTGGCATGGCTTGCTTCAATCATAATATCTGATCACCTGTAATATGTTTTTAATGAAAACAACATAGCACTGTTATAATAAACACCCAATCACTCACTGTCCATGTGATGATCACATGACTAAATAGCAAAGAGAATGCCAAAAGGTATCATGAGAGGAAAAAATGCAGTAAAAGTGAACTTTGATCAAGGTCATCAACAGTCTCTATATCTAAGGGAAACCAAATTTATACCACATAGAGTATGCCTGACCATGATTGATAATAAATGCCAGACAAGAACCTTGAAGAAAGACTCTTCAGAAGTACATCTTTCATATAATCGTGTTGTCTTTCTCACCAAACAAATTTTGTATGAATAATAGATAAGACACAGGTTTACATCATCTCCTGTGGTGGGAGTACAGGGAATTTATAAAAGGTATAAATCAGCCTTTTGGTGCATCGCTCAAGGTACTGAACGGTACAAATAGCACTACATGCCCAGTGAGACTAAAGGCTGCACACTTTACCTTCCCTTAATCAAAGAAGGCTGTTTGGTTATTGGTGTTTCATCAGCATACCTTCATAAAGATTAAGTTGGCAGGAACATACCTATACTTCCTCCAGAGAATCATGTAGAGCTAGCATCCTCATTTGGTTTTAATATTGTACCTCACTAATACTTTTACCATATGGGTATTAACACTAAAACATATTACACTTTGTCATCCTGGACAGCTTTAGGAGCATACAGCCTCATCAGCACAGCCAATCTCTTATGTGATCCATTGCTCATAATTTTTAGAAAAACTTTTAGCAACTATCATATATATATATATATATATGTAAGTGGCAAACAGTATGATATTCCTCAACTAAAAACTATGAGGTAAAATTAGTAAAAAGAAACAAAATAGTATATATGTCCATAACTAACAATCTCTCTACGACCTTGGCACCAACCTTTGTTTATCTGTTCTTTAAAAATTTTGAAGTTTTAATTTGTAATTGCTCTTAACTAAACAAAATTTGAAAATAAAATTCTTCTTCAGAAAAAGTGATTTTAATTAATAAAAACCCCAAAAGATGGTAACATGTCAACTGCCTGGTTATCCTGATTAGTCTAAAAAGGACCCAGGTGTACCTATGTATGAAGCTTGAGAACCACCAACCCTATGCTTTCGTTTTTTATGTTTTGTATTTTGTAATTCAAATATGGCCCCCTATTAGCCATTTTGTTTTTCTGATCAGTCCCAAAATGTAAAAGGCACAGCAATAGGCCAAAGCAAACTGTTATTTGAAATTTGAGAATGATCCATCCAGTGCATCATCAGAAATAGTGTTAACAATTGTTTATGGATTTATGAATGTATGAAGAACAGATAGATGAAGGGTTATTTAAACAGCCACCCATCTGGTGATGAGGGCTAATAAATATACTCCTTGTGCTGACATGTGTAATACCAGCTAAGTATAATAACTCTAGTCAAGAACTTATTATGTTATTGCCTAATTAATCATGAGGTATAATAGCAAGATGTATGCAAAAATACAATACCATGAAAATGGTTTCATAGGTATTAAGAAATTTCCATTTGGTTGAATATTAGTGAACACCAGATACATATGCTAACATATATTTATACTGAGGGTAGGTACAACATTTAAAGACAATCAAAAAATCTAAAATATTAAGTATTTATTCATTCTAAAACCTACTGAAATCAGATCAAAGTATTACAAATCTCTATACAGTATAACATCTCTAAACTGATCCTTCTAAAAACCAATCACCTGTTAAAATCAAATAAAATAGCATTGTACAAAATGGTGTTCTTTTTACTACAGCATTTAAAAACTTCCCAGTACAGTTCTCTTTCAATTTTGAATACCAATCTGATTTTGTGTCCGAAATGATTCAAATATATTGAAAATTACTTCTGAAAACTGAGCAGGCTGTGAAATCAACACTTGTGATGAAAGCCATAAGCTTAAGTTATTGTTTCACTGAAGGGCTACAGACATTTTGATTTGAGGGCAAATCATGCACCGCTAGAAAGCCCTTGTATGTTATCTTATTTGTGTGCGTTACAGAACACATTATTTTAAGTCACACAAAGTTGAAATGTTAATGAAATGATGTTTTGAAAAATAATTTGGATGTACTGATCAATGAAACATCAAATTTATCAGGTCAAACCACTTCCAGACAGACCAACCAAAGGTGGCCAGGTGTGTGTAATCATTTCTCCCTTTCAATGTGAAATCACATGTTGTATAACCTATATTTTTTTCACTCGATCAAAATAAAATGTTTTCACTCTATATAACAAAGTTTCATGTCATTAGGATATGTGGAGTATAAATGATCAAACAAATGTTAAACATGGATAAATTGATATTACTGTACATTACAGAATCACATTTGGACAGGTCAACTGAACCCTCCATAAACTGACCAAATGTCCCATGTAAGGCCGGTTTGGAGAAGTTCCACTGAATCTGAATTAGTGCATTCTACTATTTAAACTATCTGGATAATGATGCTAGTTTCACTTCTGCTTCTTTATGTTTTGACAAAAAATACAGGTTCACCTTGATATCATACTCGTTAGCAATCATTTGAATACATTTGTTTTAACTTGTATAATGATGTTCTAAAGAAATAGCAGTAGACAATAATCTCTCCTAACTAACATTATTATAATAAAACTCCCAAAATCTACTTAAAGTTACTAGCTTACACCATTGATTAAGTACATTGGAGTTTTCATCACATTCTTACATAATTAGTTTCAGCTAAAAAAAGACAATAATTAATCAAAGTTTCTTAAAAAGCAAGCATGCCCTTGCCTCTCCTAGTCCTCTGTCTTAACTGTGTTAGTTCTGACTGCAGGCTGCCAGCCTGTTAAAACACCACCAAACCTACATCAAACAAAATGGGCCGATTCCGCATAACACAGCACATACAGGTGTCAATAAAGTAACAGGTCTGTAATTCACATCACATGATGGAGGTATCCCCCTCCAACACCTACTGTACATTCTTCACCACATGAAAGAATGCTATAAAAATCTCAACAAATGAGTAAATATTACATAAATTCATAAAATTGGCAGCATTTCTTACATTTTGCTTCTGATGAAAATGATTACAAAAGTCAAAAGATATCCAATTTTCATCCTTGCAGGTTCTTATAATATGTCGTACTAAGATATTTGTTTCTGCGCATCGCAAAGGTATTCACATTCCTCATGTATGGAAATATTTATCTTCTCCACTGATTTGTTTTGCCCTTGACATTTCCAAAATTTATCTAGTGCCAGTAATTCAGCAGGATTTTAAACATATCTTTTTCAAAAAAGGTATCGGTGAAACTGCTGAATGCGCCCCAAAAAAGAACTCATTTACACAAAATTCTAATAAAGGAAAATTATTCAGAAATTAAGGGGTTTCAGGCATTATACTTGGTATACTGTACCTCCTCTTAGTATGACCAATGTATCTACCAAGTTTTATTATCCTTATTTAAATGAAAGCAAAGTTATGCTAAGGACATAAAATTTTAACAAAAGGGCAATAACTTTGTAATTAAGGGGTTGCAAGCTCTGAATTTGGTATAATGCAACTTGTTTTTAATATGTATACACAAAGTCTCGTTATCCTAGTTTTAATGCAAGCAAAGTTATACCCATGACACTAAAATTTTAGTGAAGGGCAATAACTCTGTAATTGAGGGTTCACAGGCCCTGATACTGCTGCACTGCACTTTGCTTTTGACTGATGTATATATCACATTTCATTATCCTACTTTAAATGCTGAAAAAGTTTTGTTCCAGATAATAAGAATTCAGTAAAGGGCAATAACTCTGTAATAAAAGGGTTGCAGGCCCTGAATTTGTGCACTGCATATTCTCTTAATATGATCAATATATAAACCAAGTTTTATTATCCTGATTTTAATCCTGGCAAAGTTATGCTCAAGACAATGAATTTATTAACAAATTGCAATAACTCTGTAACTGACTGGGTTGAGGGCCCTGGATTTGGTGTACTGCACATCATCTTTGTATGATCAATGCATACACCATGTTTCATCATCTTAGTTTAAATGCAAGCAATTCAAAGTTGTGCTCTGGATACAAAGGGCAATATCTCTGTAATAAAGGGGTTGTGTGCTTTGAATTTGGTACACTGCATTTTATATAAGTATTACCAATGTATACATCAAGATTCATTATTCTAGTTTAATTGTAAGCAAAGATATGCTTTCGAAAAGAAATTCGAAATAATGGCAATACCAAGTAATTGAGGGGTCGAGGGCACTAAATTTGGTACATTGCACATCATCTTAGTAAGACTAATGTATACACCAAGTTTCATGATCCTTGCTTAACTGTGGGCAACGTTATGCTGAAGGAGGGATGGAAAGACAAATGAAATGGCAGCGGCCACTACATGCTCCCCTGAAAATTTTTCGAGAGCATAAGAATTATGCTTTTATAAAATCAGAATTAATGTACTGATTTTAGGAAATATGATTTTTTTTGTGCATGTAAAATACACCTTTTTTTATCATAAATCTTCATAACCATCAAATTCTTTCCAAATAATTCCAATTCATGCTTCATGTTTCCAACATCCATAATTTTCAACCAAAGCATTTTGATGATGTTATTCTTTGGGATATATCAAAATATCAATTCTGTGACCAGGCCAGACCACTGAAACCAAAGGAGATTAACAGAGACATGCAAAACTAAGTGAAATATTAAGCACATGCATATCAAAAAGCACAACAAACAGAATGAACTAAGAAGGTAATTACAACACTTATGACAGGTAAGAGCAATACCAACAACAGTAAATGGTCATAAAAAATTACCTGAGTTCACACTTGATCTGAACCCAACCTGGACTTCTCATGAAGGACCAAGGGTGATACCATTTACTGATGACCTCCACACATGAACACAGCGTCTCCAGCCAAAGGTGCAATACTTGTTCACTTAAAGAGCAAGAAAAAAATGAGTCTTAACTATCATTACACAAAGGTTGTATATAAAATATTACAAAACTTGCACCTAATAAAATACAAAACAAGAAAATCATAAACATTATTATGAGAAATTAACTGAAATTGGATATGATTTTATACAGACCTAGAAAGTAATCAAAGTTTAGGATGGGCAACTAATTCCCCTCTACTTCCTGTAGCACTGTTAAATTTCAATGAACCATTGTTTCATTGGCCAACATCCCAGTACCAAATTTTCTACAAACAGACAAGGTGATTCTAGTAACCACAACCCCCATCCCCCACTCCCCCACCTCCTACCCTCAACTTCGTTGCAAGGAGGTATTGTGTTGAAATGTAGGTACAAGATTGAAACTTCCAGTAAAGGAAAGTGACAATAAATTTCATAAAGATATTCTTAAAATTTTACTTACTTTAGCCCACAGCAGATCAGTGATCTGAACTTGACATCCATTTGTGCATGGCATGTGTCATGGGATATGTTGACAGCTTGAACTGCCTGTGGAACAATACACAAAAGTACTTTTTATATATATGCAGACATTTCCAAAACAGAAATACATTTAATTAGCCATATAATAACATCTCCATCATCTAGTGAACTAAAAATCAGATGTTTGTCAGTGTATCATCAACATTTCCCTCCTGAAAAATCCACTACATTTTAAGGAATCAGGATAACAAAATAATTTATCTGGATAAAAAATTAAGAACAACACTACAACTAAATTATACAAACCCGATACAAGATTTCTTCAGGTGTCAACACTTTCCCATCCTGATCCAATCTGTGAAGAGAAAATAATAACATCATAACATTTGGTAAGACACAAAACATAACATTATCATACTTGATAAGACATACCCATAACATTACAACTTCTGATAAGACACAAACATGACAAACCATGATAAGACACAAACATAACATTGCTATATTTGATATAACATAAATATAGCATTACAACACTTGATAAGACACAAACATAAAAACATTACAAGATTAAATAATAAGATAAAATTACAAAACTTGATAAGACATGAATATAAAACACATTAAAACACTTAATAAGACACAGAGATAACATCACAAAACTTGAAAAGACACTAACTTAAGAGAGCAATATTTGATAAGACACAAATATAACAACATTACAACACTTGATAAGACAAACAGAACAACATTACACTTTATAAGGCACAAACAAAACAACGTAACAACACTGATTGGATACAAACAGCAACATTAACACAAGATAACACAAAGCATGACATTATCCCTCACTGCCATGGTTTAAAAGAAAGACACACAATCATATATATATGTTAATATTACAACAAGTGTGATTTCCATTTGTAATTTTCTATTGTTTCTTAGCAAAAGGCACAACTAGGACATTAAACTAATATATACAGAAATTTTTGTGGAGTTGAGTGAAATGGTTTTGAAATTATATGCCAGAAAAGCTCTAAGATAGACGGATGACAAATATGGACGGAGCCTAAATTAATATCTCCCGCAAACATGTTTCGCAAGGGATAATTAGAAGCTGGTACATTAACTTAAGCAAGGTAATGACAAATACTATAGAGACAACCATTGGCTGGATAATAAACCATGGAAAGTAACAGCCAAACAGCTGATCAGGAAGGGTTAAAGTATGATCATAATCAATACTGAGATAAAAAGATTGATCTTTTATCTTGTACCAAAATTCCTTGATAAATGAGGTATTGATGAAAAAATTAGAAATAAGTACATATTTTAAAAGAGATTCTAATTTGAAGGAAATGATGTGGGTACTCTGCAAAAAAATTCTTGCTGAAAAAGGGTTATGAAGATCTAAAAGTTAATTGTTGTTGTCTCATCCCATGATAAAATGTAATTAACATACCTGTAGGTCTTACACAACACAAGTCTGGAATACACTGACTGGAAGTCCTTCTCAACTTCTCGTGTCGCTGCCTACAAATAAAACTTTCAATTAGTCAAGCAGAGCAGTTCAAGGTAACAAGATGATATTTAACATAAATAACACCATAGCTTTGATTTTCCTACTCAAGTAGGACTCATTCAAAATTCTTCACCTTGCAGGATTCATTAGCCTATGACTTTGACTAGATCAACACTGCCAGTTGGACATGAACTTGTATCCATATTCACACTATCAAACTACCCATCAGAAAATGCCTGGGAGTAATTAAAAACAAATAATTAACACTATATTATTAAAATATCTGATTAATAAAAAAACTGATGTTACCTGGTTTCAGTATCTGTTGACCAATCAGTATATTTATTATTTGGTCACTCATTTGAGATCAAAGGTGAAAATATCAATGGAGGCAAATTTTACCTTTTTACAACTCCTACATGTAAATCTATACTACTGTAACCATACACCCACCAATTGAACTCTGATACCATCACTGAGAATACCTACATTAGTCCCATGATACAGCATCTTTTTATATGTAAGATGTACTGATATAAAAAGTGTGACATCCATATTTGTAATACCAGTGGTCAAGATAAGTGTGCCAGTGACCTATTTTTGCTTTTTTTCACATCAAAATCCAAAAGGTCAGAATTTGAAAAAAGAAGTTGTTGATGAGCTAATTTTGGTTTATACTTGTTTTCAATTATTGGTGTATAAATACAAGTCCATCTGGAAAAGCATTACTCATAGACACATTCGTGTAATGAAATATAATAGAAAACTTCAGGATTGAAACCAAAATCAACAAATTTCTTTTTGGCTGCTTAACTTAAATACAAGAGTAATAAAAAATTATAATACATGTACAGTAAATGGTTTTTAGAGTTAGTCAGAAACAGAATGTCATTTCCATTATTTAGATTTTGTTAGCATCTCCTCTAGCCCAACCTTACCTAATAAAGCAGCTTGATACTAAGTATGAACTACAATATTTGTTAAGACTTTATCACACTTTGAGATCTTGATGGCACTGTCATGACCATGAACTTCTTTCCAAAATTCTAGTTTTTTTCTGACTCATTGCAAGAATTCAACTAAATGCTTCTCAAACTTCAGCATATCAATTGTTTATGTCAGACAAGAGATCTCAGAAGGATCTTGTCATCCACCATTGTTTGATCCTCATTTGTTCTTTAAAAATTGGATGTTTTGCCTTCTTTTCTCTTCTGCTCATAATAATATGAAATTTGAAAATTTCTAATCATTAGCTGGCAAATTCACCTTTCTGCCATTTTGCTTTTCTGATCAATATAATGAATTACGCACAACTAGATGCCATGAAGAACCTACATTTGAAGCTGGAAAAATATCTCTCCATTTCAGCACAAGAAAAAGTAATACCAGGATTGTTTATAGAGAGTCCACAAATGTCAGGGACAGATAAGCCCACCATCTAATGATAGTAGACTAAAAAGATGCTCATTCATTTGATTATTACAGAGACTCACTTTAATCCCAGAGACCAAAATTATTTATTTTCTTTATGGTCTTTAGAACTGAATTGTTTTAAGAATGTATCTTAAGTATATTACAGGAGGCAATGTGCCATAATGAGTGGAAGTCAGCATGCATGAGAAACAGATGTAGCCACCAGGTATGTGATTTAGGCGACCTTAACTTTGTTACACCAGGAATGTTGTGATGAAAGCAACATGGATTAGGAGGAGGGGCATTTCTCCTTTAAATAAACCTGTTTAAACAGACTGTGGTGTTAATACACAAACAGCATGCACCAGAAAGGTCAACTGACATGATACAAGAAGAATCAAAACATTTTTATTACATCATGAAATGTATGGTCTTCTTGTCCAACACAGATTTTCTAAATCTTGTAACAGTGACCTTCATCCTACAACCCTGAAACTCAGACTTGTCTGTGATATTATATCATTGATATCATGGTCCTTTATATGAATGTGAGGTTGACTGACATCCCTTCAGTCACTAAAAGTCACTAGAATGCCAGTGACAAGTGTTTTCTGAAAATAGTAACCTGGTTGCCAATACCCTACAACTCGGAAACTCAAACTTGACTGTGATATTATGGTACTTCTATGAATGTGAAGGGTTTTTTTTTAAATCAAATTCCTCAACGAAGGAAGATGTCAGAGTTCTGACAAGGATTTTTGAACAACAGTAATGATGGCCTTTACCTGGAAACTTGTCTGCTAATATGGTCTTTCTAATGAATTTGAAATCTTATAAAAATACCTAAAGGAATGAAGCCAATACATGCTGGCAAAGATTTTCTTGAAACAAGTAACAATGACCTTGACTTTGACCCTACAACTCTGAAACTCAAACTTACTGCAGATATTATAATCCTTCATAAGCGTGTAAAGTTTTAACAAAATCTCTCCAGACGTAAAGATTTTTTTTTTTCAAAAAAAGAAAGTAAAAGTGATGTTGACTGTACAATCCTGAAACTAGAACTTGTCCAGGTATTATGGTCCTTTATAAGTGCCTGATGAAAATCTGTTCAGAAATGAAGCCACTCAAGCATTGACACACAATCTATATAATTAGTAATAATGACCTAGAAGCCTGAAATTCAAACTCATCCAATGACCCTTTAATATTGTGTGAAGTTTGATCAAAATTCCTCAGGGAACGAAGGAGCTAGAGTACTCAAAACGATAAGTGTTCTTACATAAATTAACTCTACATCTATCCACTATTGTAATGATTTGTGCAAGGTATCAAAGCTGCTATCTATAATCAGATTTATACAGAAAATAGTGACATTTTTGGTCAGTCTTAGTTTGATCTCTAGAAACATAGGAATACTTTTACTGGTGGACAGAGAAACAAGACCAATGCTCTCATGCTAAAACACCAGCAGGTCAGGTGGAGTTATTTTAGATACAAAATAAAAAAGGTTTGCTATATCCACTTACAGGAACAATGCTAACATAATGTCACTGCAGGTAGTGAGGATATTTTCAGGTATGACCTTTAACTACTGCAAATATACAGATGTCAGAAAGGTTAAACAATGACTGGTGAAAGAGAAACAAAATAATCACAATGCTAGCAGAGAATTTAGATACCCTATGCATCCTTCCAACCAACCGACCGGCTACATATGTAAAAAGCTGACTATGTTTATTAAAATGGGTATCCATGTAAATTTGAGCTCTAGGTAACATGACAACTTAGGGTGGGATAATATGCACAGCAAATGACACTTGATTCTAAACCTGCGTGTTAAATTCTTGTGTATTTCTTTATATATACAATCATCTACCACTGCAATTGATCCAACAGAACTTGACACATTGTGCAAGCTGAAATATAAAAAATGGACAGACAGATACACAAACAGACCTGATTACTATCAGGTACCTGCATCATAAATGTAGGGCCCTTTTGAGAAGAGAACTTAAGTGTATGACATCATCATCCCTGTATGGTACCTCTGACAAGTTAAGAGTACTGTCAACTTCAACACTCTAGATACCACTGACAGGTAAACTGTACAGGTAAACAATACTGTCAACTTCATCCCAGCAGGGTACCACTAAAAGGTATACTGTACTGTCAACATCATCCAAGTAAGGTACAACTGACAGGTAAACTGTACTGTCAACATCATCCCAGCAAGGTACTACTGACAGGTATACTGTACTGTCAACATCATCCAAGTAAGGTACCACTGACAGGTATACTGTACTGTCAACATCATCCCAGTAAGGTACTACTGACAGGTATACTGTACTGTCAACATCATCCCAGTAAGGTACTACTGACAGGTATACTGTACTGTCAACATCATCCCAGTAAGGTACTACTGACAGGTAAACTGTACTGTCAACATCATCCCAGCAGGATACCACTGACAGGTATCCTTTAATGTCAACATCCTCCCAGTAAGGTACCACTGACAGGTAAACTGTACTGTCAACATCATCCCAGCACGGTACCACTAACAGGTAAACTGTACTGTCAACATCATCCCAGTAAGGTACTACTGACAGGTATACTGTACTGTCAACTTCAACACTCTAGATACCACAGACAGGTATACAGAACTGTCAACATCATCCCAGCAGGGTACCACTAACAGGTATACTGTACTGTCAACATCATCCCAGCAAGGTACTACTGACAGGTATACTGTACTGTCAACATCATCCCAGTAAGGTACCACTGACAGGTATACTGTACTGTCAACATCCCAGCAGGATACCACTGACAGGTATCCTTTAATGGATACCACTGACAGGTATCCTTTGAAGGTAAACTGTACTGTCAACATCATCCCAGTAAGGTACTACTGACAGTAAGGTACCACTGACAGGTATACAGAACTGTCAACATCATCCCAGCAGGGTACCACTAACAGGTATACTGTACTGTCAACATCATCCCAGCAAGGTACTACTGACAGGTATACTGTACTGTCAACATCATCCCAGTAAGGTACCACTGACAGGTATACTGTACTGTCAACATCCCAGCAGGATACCACTGACAGGTATCCTTTAATGTCAACATCCTCCCAGTAAGGTACCACTGACAGGTAAACTGTACTGTCAACATCATCCCAGCACGGTACCACTAACAGGTATACTGTACTGTCAACATCATCCCAGTAGATACCACAGACAGGTATACAGAACTGTCAACATCATCCCAGCAGGGTACCACTAACAGGTATACTGTACTGTCAACATCATCCAAGTAAGGTACCACTGACAGGTATACTGTACTGTCAACATCATCCAAGTAAGGTACCACTGACAGGTATACTGTACTGTCAACATCATCCCAGCATGGTACCACTAACAGGTAAACTGTACTGTCAACATCATCCCAGTAAGGTACCACTGACAAGTATACTGTACTGTCAACATCATACCAGCAGGATACCACTGACAGGTATACTTTAATGTCAACATCATCCCAGCATAGTACCACTGACAGGTATACTGTACTGTCAACATCATCCCAGCAAGGTACTACT